GATCGCTTTTTTTCCCAAGCTTTATTCTGAGCTGAAGGCGCTCGAGATGCACTTTGCTCAGTCCTGGATGGGAATTTGTTACTGCAGAACTTTTCAGACTGCATTTCTGCAGCGCTGTGAAGGGGGGCAGCCAAGGGGTTCTCTGGGTCTGAGGGTAAATAGTTTGGAATGTGTGTGACCTGTGGTGAAGTGTGGTTGTAGTCACAGAACAGGAAGGCAGAGAAAAATAAGCTTTTGTTGTTTTCAGGCATGAGAATCTGGTGTTACTCACTGGCTAAAGTGACCATATTCCTTCTTTGTCACCTACTGGAGGTGAGTGTGATCTGCTCCATCGAACTGCTGCAGGTCCTTGTGCCAGTGTCCTCAGAGAACCTTTGGACTCAGAACTCATTTTCTGTCTTCAGTTTAGGCTGAATTTACCAGACTGCAGTTGGAACATACTGAGTGGGAACAAATCTCCAGCAAAGAAGGCAGTTTGCAAATCCAAGTGTAGTTGGACAGCAGAAAACTGCCCCAGTCTGAGCAACAGCCCGGGTTCGAGACAGAACCTGGGAACAGGGAGATGTGAGGGACATGCAGCGATGGGAGGAGTTGTGGCTCCTGGCACAGGGAGGGGATGGGGGCTGACTTCCATGATGTCAGTGAGGATGGCTGGGCTGGGTCCTGCCTGCAGAGCTGCTGTGCTGAGGGCGAGGCGAGCTGAGAGCCTTGCAGGTGGCATAACGTGGCACTGGGTGGGGGCTGTCAGCTGAGTTCTCTGCCAGTTGTGTTTTCCTGATTCAAAATGATTTTTCGGTGGGATTCTGTAGAGAGTGGAGGTTTTGTCAGTTGTTTGCATTGGCTGTGTGCTGTGATGGGTAACATCAAAGTGGTGTACGATAAGGCTTCACATCATCCTGTCTGTAGCGACCCTCACCCCACAGGGCACAGGGGTGCAGTGAGCCCTGCCCATTGCTGCAGGCCAAGAGCTGCTGGCTGTGGGAGGAGGAAAATCATCATTTCTGTACACAACCCCGGTGTCTTCCGAGACTGTAGTGTTTGTTGCTGAACTTTTCTAAGCTCTTGACTGAACCTAAATGCCACAATGCACAGCATTTACATGGTTGCCGTATCACTGCTTGTATTCCTGCCTAGCAAGCTGTGTGAGTCATTTGAATTAGGCTGGGTTTTATATTGAAACAGGATCGACTGAGGTTTGCTTTTAGCGTTGGTGCCCTGAAATTGCATTCCAAATTTAATATAGAATGATTGTACTGAGAGCTTAGCTGTCTGCTGCCCGCATCAATGCAGCAGAACAAGGCATGGGGCCACGGCAGCCCAGGGCAGCCTCAGCACACCGCTGAGGCCATGGCACGGGCTGAGGGCATGGCACAGCTGCCTGGGGTGATGGGGTTCCTGTGAGCTGGTGTTTGGTTAAGGAGGGGCAGAGAGGGGTCCTCACATCAGCCCCCCACAGGAAGAGGAGTGCCAAGGGCTGGGACGGGCAGATGGGGAATGCTGGGGTCTGTTAATGGGACAGGAGAGAAAGCAAAGGCAGCCCAAGGTTGAAGGAGGCGACGCCTCTGATTGAGACTAATTAAAAGGAAGAGCTAATCAAGGCCTGGAGCTCTCAGGAATCCCACTGGGCAGGGGGATATGGGGTGAGCTGCTGATGGAGCACGTTGCAGGTGAAGGTTTCTCATTAAGTGGGGTTGCTGAGGCAGGAGTTGGGGGGGCAAGGCAGGACCCAGAGCCTGCCCTGGGGGCATAGGGCAGTGTGACACATGGTGGTGTGAGCACGGCTGGGAGGGCCCAGGAGCAGCAGTGAGCTGTGGGGCAGCAGGCCAGGCTTGGGGGCTGCACACAAGAATTGGAACTCCATCACATCTGTGGTGGGCTGATGAGTGCTAAAGTCATTCAACAAACACGAGTGGCCAGGTAGGAATAGCTCCAGGTGTCCCCCATGTCACAGATGGTTCATGTTGGGTACCGTGGTGCCTTGGGGTGGCTGGGGTTGCAGGGAGCATTTCATGGGATCAGGATATAAAACCTGGCAGAGAGGATGGAGCTGCCTTGGGATGCTGCTCTGCCCTGGTCTGGCCCCACAGAGATGTGCCCATTTCGGTGCCATTCCAATTGCAGGTCCCAGTGCCATGACCCCATCCTGTCCCATTCCCGCTGCCAGGAAAGACACTGCAGGAGTGGCAGAAAGACCTCGGACAGGTGAGCAGCCCACATCCTTGCTCTCAAATGGAAGTTGTGTATGAGAGCTCCCTGCAGCTGTGAATTCCAAGCCACAATCCAGCACAGCGCTGGCATGAGCCCTCTCCCACCCCTCCTGGCTCTCCTCATCCTCGCTCAGAAATGCCTCTGAAGTCCACCAGTGCCCTCTCATTTGAGAGCTGAATAATTGGTGGTGATGCATTCAGAATCCCTCAGCTTTGATTTGCCTCAGCTCCAGCACTGCGCAGTGTGGGGCCGCAGAGCCGGGGGCCGCCCAGCACTGCTCCCCCTGAGCCCTTTGGATTCTCCTTTTACAGGTTCCTTCCATGTGTGTGTGTCTGTGCACGTGGGCATTGGCTGCCTTTTTGCACACACAGCGGCTGTTTGGTAGCAGTGAGTGGGGCTCCCTGCCAAGACCACCTCATTAAGATTAAGCTTATGCAGATATGCCTCGTTTTCGGCTAATGACAGCTGCGAACAATTGTTTGTCATGCTTGCTGATTGTTGATTGGTGAAGGTGAGGCCCTGCAAGAATGGTGTCCTCGGGGTGCCTGTCCTCAGGGCTGGTAGGACGGACATTGCTTTGCTTTCAGCATTGCCACCAGAGTGGATGCATCGTGATACATTTTTGCAGGAAAATAAATGGAGACGTCCAAACACGCACCTGAAGGCTGCAGTGTGCAGAGCAGAGGCTTTCATCAGAGCTCTGCGGGCTGAGAACCAAAGCAGTGGCTCAGTGCAGATGAAGGCTCTCCTCCCAGAGCACCACCCTGAGCTCTGCACCGCACCTGAGCGTGTCTCGGAAATGCCCGGGCTATTTGAGGACATCCCTCCTAATGAGCACAATTTTACGTTGTTTTATTATGATGCTGACAGAAAGAAAGAAGCTCTGAGACAAAAGAATGTCTGAGAAAATGGAATTCTCAGTGCTGCCAATGAAAGCGCTCCGCCTTGCTTTAAGGCTGGGATGGAAATGGGGACACACGGCTAGAACAGCCGCCACGCAGGTACAGAGATGTCCCATTGGCATCAGCACTGCTCCTGCACACGATGCTGGGATGGGGAGGGACTCCCCTATAGGGCACGTTTAGGAGGTCCCCTATAGGACACATTGAGGAGGGACCCGGCCCTGGGGGCAGCTCCTGTCCGGCCCCATAGAGGTGAATGAGCTGGGATCGGGGTCCTGGGAGGAGATTTTGATGCCTCTGAAAACAATTGGGAGAGCTCCTAATTTTAATTGGGTTTCCTTAATTACTATTTACTTTGACTGAAGAAACCGTTGCGTTTAACGAACGCTGTTTTTTGCCAAAATGCTGTCACGGAGAAGCTGCTTTCCCTTCAGGAGCCCTCAAACACGGGCTCCCTTCCAAGCCTTGGGGCTGCGCGGTGCTGCGCCCACAGCCCTGCTCCTGCCCTCCCTGTCCCAACCTCAGCAGCATCTCCCACTGCAGCCCAGTGGTGCTGGGGGCCAGGTGAGCCCCGTGCATTCATTGTGCAGAAGGAGAGCAGCCCCTCAGCTTCGCTGTGCGCACCGGGCCGCGCGGGGACCCCACGCTCCCATCGCCTGGACTCTTTATTTGGTATTTCTTTAATAATTAGCAGCAGATTTTGTACTTATGTTTGCAATTATCCGAATGCCTCTGGGACGTGTTCTGCTGGATAATTGAATCTCGTTGGTATGTGGCTGTGGAGATGCTGTCGGAGTGAGCTGCTGCCTTTTGGGGTCATGCTCAGATAAATGAGGCTTTCTCCTTTTAAAAAACGAATAGAAACAAAGTGCTTTGCTCTGCTCTCTTCAGCAAAAGCTTTGCTAGTAGCCCATTCTGGGAAGGGAAATGCATTATTATCACTAATTAATTAGACGTACATTTTAATTCCATGCAGCGGCTCTTTCCTGGGCTCCAGCGACCCCTCCATGTGCCATACCTGCAGCAGCAGCACGAGATGCCAGTGGGGCTGTGCTCCTCAGAGGAAAAGTGAAACTGTTCAGCTTCCAAACACTTCTCATTCACAGAGATTGGGTAAAATTCCTCTGTCGGCACCGTTGTTCCTTGTGGGACCTCAGCTGCTGGGAGCCAGGGCCCCCAGCACAAAGGATCACTGCCAGCTGGGTGCAGGAGGTGCTCTCTCCAGATGTCTATGGAAGGATGGCAGCAGGTGGGATGTGTGGCACGTCTGCTTGGTGCCATAGGCGCTCCCTAGATGCTCCGTCCCAGCAGAGGGATGGGGGAAGGTTAAGCCCAACTGGCGTTGCCACTTCCCCCAAGGAAAAGCACTGTTGTTCCATCTGCACCTGTGCTTCCCTTGGGGCTCGGTGCTGGGGTCACTGCTGGGCATCCACGCCCTGGGGCAGTGATGGCTGTGCCCATTGGCTGCCATGTCTATGTACCATGTCCCCCGGCACAGGGGAGCATCGAGGTGGGCACAAGGCACCTGTGACTTCAGGACACCCCTGGGCACGACATTCCCTCTGCTCCAGCTCATCTGGGTCACTCAGGGTTTCTTCACACAACAGCACACGAGCGCTGTGTGACGCCAGCAGGGCACGGCGCTGCTGCCGGGGGCTCCTGCCTGACCCACATCCCTCTGCCCACAGCCCCCTGCCCACGGAGCCAGTGCCAGCAGCCCCACCGGGCCCCCACGCCGCTCTGTGCTTCGCCCCAGCCACAAAGCAGTTAACATGTGTTGATCGCAGCGGCGTGCTCGGCTCCGTGCAGCTCTCGCAGGCAGCGCGATCCTCCCCGGTCTCCAGGGATCTCGTGGCATTTTGCCCAGATGGCATCGGTCTGTGTCTCAAGGACATAACGCAGCGCCTTCGCAGCCTCGCAGCAGCGCCGCGGTGACAGATGAAGCCGGGGCGCTCCTTCGTCTCCTCCGAGAGGGAAGGGAAGCTCCTCGACATGCCAAGGCTGCAGCCGGCCGCTCCCTTTCGCCTCTGCGAATGAGCCGGTGCCCGGTGCCCACCCGGGTTGCAGCGCGTGGGGCGGCGCTGGCCGAGCACGAGGCCCCCCCTGTCCCCGTGGAGCAGCGGGTGCCCGGCCCTGTCCTCCCCCACTGGCACCGCAGGTAGGTGTGGGATGGAGCTCGTCCGTTGGGGCGCTGCTGGCAGAGACACGTGGGCTGGCAATGCCGCTCCCCGGGGTGGCCGCTGCACGCGTTGTGGGGCCTCACAGCCTCATGGAGAGCCAAATGTGGTCTTCGTGGCCGCCAGCACGAGGATGGCGCAGCGGTCTGGGGGCGACCTGTGAAATGCCTGCAGCACGCGTGCGGTGGCCACGGTGGCACCATGGGCACGAGATTGGTGGTGCCCTTCATCAGCTGTATTTAATTGGTGTTTTCTGTTTTCTTGAACGCGCCGTGACGATGGGGCCGGCCCTGCTGCTGCTGTGCACATGGGGATGAGTGGCTCGGGGGGGCTGAGGTCACAGTGGGGGCTGTGCCGTGAGCCCATCGAGGATGACATGGGCACCTCCGAAAGTGATCTGTCATGGATGGTGGGCGACAGCATTCTGTGTTGCAGCGGGTTGTGGGGCAGCAGGATGTGGAGCTTCAGGGCTCCTCCAAACCCTCCGCTCAGCCCCCCAGGCCCCACATTTCCCTGCTCTGTGTGTAGCTCATTTCGTGCCAAATGGAAATGGGGTTTGTTTTTCCTTTTTTTTCCCCCTTTGCTCCTGCGTGTGGCCAATGGAGTGTTTCCTCGCCGCGTTTCATTACAGCCCGCACCGCTCAGACACCGCTCCCAGCGCTGCCGTGTGCCGGGAATGCCAATGAGCCCACACTGCCACTGCAAAGTGCATTTGTCCTGAATGCAGAATAATTAATGGTTTGGGAGAACCGAGCGAATTACATTGGAGCTGTTGCCCAATTAGTTAAACTAATTGAGAAGCGGGGGCAGCTACGAGAGACCCTGCAGCATCGCGGTGCTCCGACTCTGCAGCAGGAATGGGGCCATCCCCACGCATCCCCACAGAGCCCAGCGTTCTTTTTTTGGATGTTCTGCTCCGTTTTCTATCTGTTCCTGTACATACGCGTGTGTACATGGGGCGCTCGAGGAGCTGAAGGGGTGGGAGCACGGTGCAGTACCATCACTGCTCTGTGGGCGCTGTGGGGCCGGCCATTCACCGAGCTGTGCTTCCCCCATATGCACTGTGACAGATTACAGCTTGATAGAGCCACAAACACCGAATAGCAACAGAGGCGTCAATTTAGTTATTAACAAAGGGCAGCATTCAAATGGCGCTGGCGCGGCTCCAAGTTGCCGAGCTCATGAGCGTTTATTAAATATTCATCGAAATCTTGGCATTTCGCTCCCCGCCTGCTTCCCCCCCCCCACCTCCCGAAATGAGTTGGTTCTAAAGGTTAGGAGCCGGCTTCAAAAAATTAATTATTTCTTTAGCTCGCTATAAATTAGATCTTTACAACGAAGTTTTGGAGGGTCGGTGCGAGTTGAGCCGCGGTGGCACTTTGGGGGGGCAAGTTGGCTCCTCACGTGCGCCCTGACCCCGCCACGTGGCGGCGTGTGACCCCAAATGCTGCGTGAGCTCCAAAAAAAAGAAAGAAAGAAAGAAAGAAAGAAAAGAAAGATTTAAATACACAAACATGAGCGGGTCTGTCTGCTCCTTTCACCTGCCCCTTTGTCACCGAGCCGTACCTGCGGCACTCGGAGCTTCGTGCCACCGCCGCACTGCGAGACTCTGCCCGCTGGTTTGGCACCACGGCTCCCCATTTGGTGAGTGCGCTGCTGCTGCCAGCAATTAATTGGTGCAGCTCTCCCGCCGCTGCTCATTAGCATGCAGGGTGCGTGTGGGCGCTTCGTTGCCTGCAGCATTGGCACGGGGCTGCTGGGTGCGGGAGTGCGGCGGGGTGCTGCGGGTTGTGGGGTGCTGCAGGGTATGTGGTGCTGCGGGGTGCTGCTGCTCGTGCAGAGCCATGCACCAAGGGTTGTTGCTCGGTGTCTCTTCCTCCCGCCAACTCCCCGCTGTGCTCCCATCCTGCATCCCTGCTTCCATTGAGATGCTTCCAGTGCTCCGGGCTGGTGGGACCCCCGCAGCTACTACAGCTCATTGCCTTGATGCTGGGATTACTTCTTTTCCTTCCCTATCCATAAGCACTCGGGATGAGTGTTCGGGGCGCGGGCTGCGCCGCGGTGCTGAGTCCCGGCAGCCGTACGGCTCGGCAGTGCCGCGGTGCCCCGCCTGCCCCCCGCCATGCTCACAGCACGCGAGCGAGCACACAGCCCTGAGGGCAGACGGGATCCATCCTCGCAGTGCCAGGGACTGAGCCCCAGCCTGGAAGAGGCTGCAGGGTCCGGCGGGGTGGCAGGCGCTGTCATTAGGATGCAGGTCCACCGCCATCTCCCTGGAGACCATGGGAACGGAGAGCTCGCGGTGCCGGTGCCTGGCAGCCGCGCTGGGAAGGGGCAGCTGTGCGTCGGCTCTGAGGGCGCCGATGAATTACTGCCCCTGTTCAGGCAGGAGCCTTTGTTCCCCGCGCATTGTCAGCAGAGAAATCGGAGAGAAAAGTAAAATTAATCAGGCGCAGCTCGAGATACTGGGAGACAATGAGCCGAGCGCGTACCGGCAGATAGCACCGCGCGGAGCATCCGCTCCGTTTTAAGCATTAGTGGCGATTTTTTTTTTTGTCCTTGAACTAATTATCTACAAAAGCTTCTTTGAGCTGACGCCGGCTATGAATTGCCGCGCTGGTGCGGCATTGTGATGGCGGTGATCCCGTATTATTAAATGCGGGGCATTCCTGGGTAATCGCTGGCCCCTTTGTGCCGCTGAAGGAAGCCATATGTTTCAGAGACATCCCGAAAGATCTCACGGCAACAACAAAACGGGGATTTCTGACGCTGCTGAATGTGGCTGCCAATCACCCACGTCCCGCTGCCAGTGCTGTGTGGGTCACTGCGGGTCTGTGTAAGCGGTGGGGATGTGCCGGCTGGGCGCTGAGCTCGGCACACTCTGAAGTGCACCGAGGGAACTGATCTTCCTCCTCACGGCAACTCCCTGTCCATTGCAGAGAACTGAGGAGCCTTCTGCCCCTGTTCCCGAGGTTCAGCTTGAGCGCAGTGTGCAGGGTTTTCTCTGTGGGCTTTTCCTTGCTTTTTGCTCGTACGGCTCGTTACACCCAGCCCTTTTGTGCACCGGATTAAAACCCACGGCCCACGACTTCCCAGGGTGTAGCACTGCGATTGGTAGGAATGGATTTCAATCCCTGTGGCCAAAGCCCATCCCGTCCCTGTCCCATGGTGCTGAGCCCAGCAGCGTGCCCAGCCCCGCTCCACCCTCCCAGCACAGGACAGGACCCGCTCCCATCTGCTCCCTTTGCTCTCTGGGTTCCCCATCTGACAGCTGACACAAAGCACAGCTCCGTCTTGATTTAGTAAGTGTCTGGAAATGTCATCAAAGACATGATAATAAAATATCAGATGCAGGGAAATGACTAGCCAAAAGGCATTTTAAAAAGCTGAGAGTGTCCATGTAGTAGATTAAGACAGCCATTCCCATCCTGTGCATGTTCTCACCACCCATCCATTGCCTACATTTGATGTTTTATCACTTCCAAAGGCTCAGCTCGCCCTGCACACACCCTCAGTGCATGCACTGCTACTTACAGGGCAGGCAGAGATGTTGATGGCAATAACTACAGCTGAGTTCCAATGTTCAGAAGTCTCTTGGTAAATTAAAGCCCAGCCCCACACCCAGCGCAATAGGGACAGAGCCAGCTCAGCAGCACAGGGACGGATGTGTTAATGTTTTAATAGGCTGATCACCTCATAAATAATTTGCTCAGTTCTAGAGTAATTGACCCGGTCACAGAGGTAATAAAGGGCTTTCCCTTGGGTTCTTGTTCAAAGGCTGAGCAAACCCTTTCAGAGGGAGCCCTAAGTGCCTTTTAACAATATGTGTTTTATATGGTCACAGTCTGGTACCCTGCTAATTCAGCAGTCACTGCAAACACCATCAGTTCGGCTCCATGGATATTTCAATTAAAATAATAAAAAAAAAAAGAAGAGGGGGAACCAACAGCACCTTCAGCCCCAAGAGCTCTGGGCTGCAGCGCATGGAAACTGCCTTCCTGCAGCTCCACAACCACTGTGCAGCCCCTGAGCTGTGCTCCTGCACCCCACTGCTGCTGGCACTGGGCTTGGCTATGGCTGTGGGTCACTGTACAGCAGCAGGAGCAGGCAGATCCCAGGGCACAGCTTTACCCTCAGACCCCACACACCCATCCCATTCATTTCAATGCATCGAATGCACACACTGCGCTCTTGTATGCTGGGGATTCCTGCTATGTGCTCTTAATTACTGAGTTTTCCTCCCCTCTGATGGGTTTTCCCCTTGTGTGCTGGCTATTCCTGGGGTGCACTGCACATTCCTGAGGCATTCTTGCTGTTCTTCCTGCATCCTAGGTGTTCCTATTGTGCACTGTGCCCTTCTCCTTGCTGGCACTGGGAGCTGCAGAGCCAAGCTGTGGCCCAAACCATCAGACACAAATGTAGTTGCGATGGAAAGTAAATTTAATATGCTTGCCCTTATTTTTGTAAATTAGTGTAACCGTCAGCTACAGAATAAATGACACCTAATTACTGATGGGGCAGCTCGTGCAGAAGCGCAGAGCTGGGAGGCGATCATAGGGAAACACTGTCAGTGATGGGAAATGAACATGATGCCGGCTGTAGGGAGCTGTAATTACCGAGGACTGACACACTGTGAGCTGTTTATGGTAATGAAGCGGTGCATCAAATCAAATTAACCTTAGTTATTTAGCACAGAACGCACCGAGGACTTCTCCCAGTCGATGCCAAACCCAAACCCGGAGCGGTTGCCCTTTGGACCGACAGAGTCAGAAATTTGCTGGGGATGAAGGTGGAGGCAGTGGCTCTCATTTAGGATGTGTGCATGGCTGTGTGCAGGGTCCTGGGCGATGCAGGGCAGGGCAGGTTGCAGCACCCTGCACCCCACGGGCATCCCCGTGTCCCCATGTCACCATGCACTGGGCAGAGCCAGAGCAGATCAGCTGGAGGAACACTCACAGCGGGATCCCTCCCCCCTGACAGGTGAGTAACCTTTTGGAATAACCCAAATGCTTCATTAAAGATTAACGAGCTTCCAGCAAGGCTCTCCTGCTGCAGGTTGTGCTGCATGGGGAGCGGGCACAGGGAGCACGTGGGCACAGGGTGCAGCTCATCCCTGTGCACGCTGCTGGGATGGATGAGGAGGGAGGGATTGCTGGAGTGGCTGCGTCCCAGCAGTGCCTGCAGGTTTCCACGGACCCGTTTTCCTGCTGACCATTTTGCTATGAGCTGTGTTGGACCGTATGGCATTAGGAAAGATTTGCCCGGTGACTCCCTGCCTGCATGGGCCTCGAGGGGAGCCAAGCCCCTCCTCCAGGAAAAGGAATCCTGGGCAGAACTTCCCGTTGGTTGGAAAACGTGAACTGCATCTGCAGTGAAAGCTCTTAATTCCTCTGTGTAACTCAAAGCTGTGCATATTGAAGAACCCGCCGCCAAATTGACCCTGAGCTGTATTTTTGCATCAGCCTGTGTTTATCCGGTTGGGTTCAGTTGGGACAGCAGGAGCAGCACATCCTGCTGTCTTTGAGCCCTGATGCATGGTGCAGGGTGTGGGGCTTTCTGCTTATGAGTACATTCTGCTTCTTTCTGTCACTAGAGTCCCAGTAGTTAATCTCTATTGTAAGGGAAGAAAGAGAAGAGATTTTCTCTAATTCCTTTTAAATGGCCTCCAAATGAGGGCTCAAGCAAAGATGACTAACGACAGACCTGATTAAACTAATTTGGAAGCAGAAGCTCTGACAGCAGCCCCCCAAGCCCAGGTGTAGCCCTGGGGATGACACACTGCCATCCATGCTGCGGATCTCCTTTGCCATGATATCTGAATTAAGGAAATTCATTGCTTTGTGTTTTTGGTTTGAGCAGAAGATTTCCTTCTTCACTGAAAACGTTTTTGTCTGTTTTCTGCAAACCTTTTTCTTCCCACTGCCAGATACAGTCCCACTAATGGGATACTAAACCCCAGTTTGCTAGCAGTCAGCTCTGCACCTCCCATACCTCTCACCAAAGCACTCCCTCTGAACATGCCTTCGCCTTCCAAGAACTGATAACATTAAAATACCCACAGTGTAGAGATATGCAGAGAAGCTCAGTGTCCCATTCCTTCCCCGCAGTACTGGCAGTGATTAATGTGACACCCGTTCTTCCGTCCATCTCGCTTTTGTTTAATTATCACTGTTGCATTGTTTGTGTCTCTGGAGACCCGATCTGGTGGGATTGCCCTGATGGATTATGTATGAAATCCAGGTCAGTGCGTCCAAGTATTACTGCTTCATAATTTGCTGCGCCGCAGAGGCCAATAGAGATGCCTTGTATTATTAATTATACCAATATATTTTCATGAGTAATGTGATTAATTAGGCTGTGTGTATTACAGTTCCAGGCCTGCTCTGTTGTGTGTTTGTTCTTGGATGGAGGTGGCTGGCTCTGAGCAAGCAGCAAAATCTGCTCTGGGCAGAACTGCCCAGTGCCAGGCAGCATGCACAGCCCCAGCAGCACAGCAGCCCAGGGCCATGGGCAGTGTGGTGGTGGTGGTGCCACGGTGGCAGTGCCAGCACTGAGTTGGCACAGAGCTGCACCAACGGCACAGCTCTCAGGCTCCAGGCTCTGCTCCCAGTGTGGCACAGCTGAACTTCTCCTGTCTCTTGTTTTCACGTAGGTCCAAGAAGAGTCACCACCCTTTAAGTGCCACGAAGAGGCCTTCCACTCTCCGGTGCAAGAATTCAAACAGTAAGGCAGTGTTTTCTCTTTCTGAGCAGTTGCTGCTGGGTTGCATTTTACTCCGTCAATTTCTTTCCTTCCTGCTGTGTGTTTGATCACAGGGGTCTGTTTCTTTGCTTTTTGACGTAGCTCTGCTCTGGCAGTCACACAAACAATTGTGTCTGGGATGGGTATTGTCCTGTCTGCTCGTGCTGAATTCCTTCCAGCAGTGCTTCGTGCCCTCGAGTTGCAGTGTTCCCATCCAGCTGCCAGCAGAGTACGCATCCCAGTCCCTGTGACTTCTCCTTGGCACCAGGATGCACAAAGGGAGCTAACCCAGTGGTCAGTGCTGCACTGTGCTGGGGCAATGCGGGCGCCCTGCCCTATATTGGAGCACTGTGTGTGGGTCACGGTGAGGAAACCATCCCCTTCCACCTCCCCAGCCCTGCCGGGAGCTCAGCATGGAGGGAATCTTTCTGGGGATAACCTGAACGGCGCTGCACTGTAGCTGAGAGCCAGGGAGGAGCCTCCTTGACTCTGCATTTAACTCCCTGGATTCACCCCTCCTCTAGGACAAGCTGATCATTAATGGGCTTTAGAAACTCCGGTCACAGTCAAAATTAAATCAAAAAATGAACTATTACTCAAAGTGACTCGGAGTTGCCTGAGATTTATATGCTTTGGGCAGCTCGAGCTCCATTTGCTGGATACTTCAGAAGCCTCACCACAAGCACACCGTGACCACCTGCAATTTCACACCGCTATAAGCTCGCTCTCATTGAGATTGGGGAGATGAAAAATGTCTTTATTAAGGGAAGTCGAAGGTCCCTGATTGGCTGCTAAGTGCGTTTTAATGTGTGGGGTGAGGGGTGCGGGGCTGGAGGTGGCATGGTGGTGCCTGAGCTCCTGTGAGAGCCTGGTGGGAGAACTCCAGATGAAGGATTTAGCTGCATTTTTTTGGCTGCTCGGACTGTCTCGAGATGGTGGATGGCTCTTGCTTCAGGGCAGCATGGGCTGTGCACCCTTGGACAGGCTGTGAGTGTGCATGCCTCCACCCATGTGGTGCTGCAGGTCCTCCCGCTGCCTTTAGCTGCCTGTTTTGCTCCTTGACCATAAAACCGCGGCAGACCCATTGACAGGTTTCCTCCCGCCCCCCTGCCCCAGGACTCTCGGAGCTGCTCTGGAGGGAGCTCTCACTGTGCTCCTTGCAGTTCCTGGTGGTTCCTGCCGGGCAGTGGCTGTGCACAGACACCCCTACACGCGGGTGCGTTGTGCTGTCAGTGTGCTCCATTACGTATTCCCTGCTCTCCTACCCCTGAGCCGTGCCCTGCTCGCCTCCCCCCGTCATTGCTGCATCCCAAGCGAGTCCTGCACGCTGCAGACAGAGCCACGGGAGCGGCTGCTGCTTCCTGCTGCTCCTGTTTCCCCAGCACACCGCTGTGGATATCCACCCCAGAATGATCTTTTATTCCCGCATTTGTGTCTTTACTCCAGGAATCATGCACTGAACCTGGAGCGAAGTCAAGCACGGAGCCTCCTCCCAGCTCATCCAGCAACACGTTCACAAAAGGCCCTGTTATTATCCCCACGTCCACACACTCTAACCCTGTAATTAGATGCTTAGGCTATGATTGCCCCATTGTCCGCTGGATGGGTTTAATCATTCTTTCCTCCTACAGTGGCAATTTTGTCCCAATTAATTATTTCAGTTTGAACAGCAATAGCTGGTTGAGTTTAGAGAGAAATTAAAAGGGTAGAGCACAATAATGAAGAGCGAGCTAACCAGGGAAAAGCTGCAGACAAGGCTGCTGCTCCATGCTCTCCACCGAGGGCTGGAGCACCTCCTTGCCTGCACATGGCAGCAGGGCTGTGTGTTCATCCTCAGGTCCTGCAGAAGGTGCTGCTGCAGCCGTGGTGGCCGTGACAGCAGTGGTGGCTCCAAGGTGAGTGGCAGTGCAGGCAGAGCAAAGAGATGAGGGCAATGCCACAAATTAGGGTCAGCCTATGGCTATCAATGGCAGCTCTCTGAGGAGACAGTTCTGCCGAGGCTGTGCTCCCTGCCCTCCTATCCTGTGCCCAAACCCCCCGTTTATTCACTTTATCTCCCCATTTATTCACTCTTGGCCACACAGTGGCAGAGCCCTGCAGCTCCCCAGCACTGCAGCATGTGTTTTGGTGGTTCTCAGAGGGATAGGTGCTGTTCTCTGGGTGATTTGAGATGCAATTGAATTGAGTTGAAAAAAATAAAATACAAATGTTAAGGTTATACAAGGTTTTGAGGGGAGAGGGGAAAAATATTCATGCCTTTCAGGAGTTACAAAAATGCTGCCTGTGCAATTCATGTATAATTCAGTGAATTCCAGAGTAGTTTGAATATTTAAATTATGTATGATCAAAGCAATAAAGAAATCTGCTTTTCCTCACTCCGAGCCCCCAGACGTAATGCTCCCAAGCGGCCCCTCCCCAAAATGCAGCTTCTCACCTCCATTGTGCCTCATTGCTGCAAAGAAATTGAGTTTGTCTGGAAAAGTGCAGTGCTGAGTGCGGCCACTGCTCCCCAGCAGCCAAAGGTGGGCAGGTGGGGGCAGCCCCACAGCATCCCAACCCCACCTCATCTCTGTGCTGTGACTCCCAGGTGCAGGGGAGGTTCTGGCTGGAGCTGGGGCTGCAGCTCCCCCAACAAACCGAATGGGGAAAAAAGCAAAAGGGGGGGGAAATGGACAGAATGCTGCCTCTGCCCCTCCCTCTGGCTCCTGTCCATATGCTGTAAATTTTCATTGGTAATCTCTAATTTAATGATCTATTCCCAAGAGAAAATTAGTCAATTTACCAAAAAAAAAAAAAAAAAATCGCAGTTAATTTAAGCATAATGGTGGGAGAGCAGTGTGAGTGCTGCAGCCATCCTCAACCTCTGCTATTCCTTCTGCTCAGCCCTGCAGAGGGCAATTACAAGGCAGAATCTTAGTAATACGCTGAGGTCCATTTGAAATCTCCCAGCAAAGACTGCAGAGAGGTTCCCGGGGGCATGAAAAGCAATTTCCTCCTGGAATAGGAGGTGGTTCTGAGCTGGAGTATGGCTCAGCTGAATGAAGGTGCTGAGACCTGGAGAGCAGGAGTGAGTCCTGTGCTGGGGATGGTAGTGGGCACATCCCAGTGATGTGGGCACACCCCTCTGGTGGGGGCAGAGCCTGAGCAGTGTGGCAGAGGCCGTCCCTTCCGCAGGTATTGAGATGGATGGCGGTGGCTTTGCTCATTAGAGCCTGTGGCAAAGGGTAGGTGCTGGAAGTCTCCGCTGTGGGGAAGAGCTGCAAGGGAGCTCATTAACTTGAAAAATTGGGTCCAGAGGGCTCATTTGTCTGATATCAGTTCTGTGTTTTCTCTAGTAAAGTAGAAAATGAGGGAGGGGGATCCGAGCCGCCCCTCAGTGACTGACTCTTTGATTTAGCCCTTCCTGATCCATGTCCTTTCTTTCAAACAGCCTGTAGCACAGCTTGCTTTTCATAGTTTTAAGCCTGTCCATGTGAACATGGTCAGACCCTGCCATGTGTTCTCCTGGCACCGCACTGCTGTGCTTCCGAGTAGCACACAGCCGTGCCCTTTGGTCAGGTGCTTGTGAAGCTAGGTCCAGGCAGGACGGAGCAGGGCAGCTTTGGACTGCTGCAGGCCACCAGTTGCTGCTATCAGGGAGCCAAACCGTGTGCTGCATCCACACTACAACCACAGCCACACATTCCATAAAGCAGAGCTCTGGTGCGCTGCTCGCAGCCATGCACCCTGCACCGGTCTGCCCCCGTGGCTCTGAATGCATTTGCAGCAGGGACCCCAGCCTGTTGGAACCCGGCCGGCAGTGAAAGTGACAATTAATGACAGCTTGAACAGCAATCCTGCTAATTGCATCACGCTATTAATAAGGCAGAGCTGTCAAAGCACAGCAATTGCTCGAGCGGAAGTCAGGCAGCGTCTGTGCCAGCCGTGGTCCCCAGCCCCGCACGTGGGGGGAGGCATGGGAAGGTTGTGGGGCTCAGTGTTGCTGCTCCATGCAGGGGCAGCTCCCAGCCCCCAGCAGCTGACAGCGGTGCAAAGCGATGTTCTCTTTGCAGTCTTTCCCATTAAATTAGAAGGGAAATCTATTTCCTGTTTTTAAAAGAAGGCGAGTGAAGCCAGTGTTAAATATAGATATATGGTATGTAAATGAATCTGACAACTGAGTGAATAAAAAATGAAGGTGTAAATTATTGAAGGGTGGGAGGAGATGGCGCATGCAAATAGCATTAATGTGGAAGGAGGCAGCTCTCTGAGCAGGGAACAGAGGTTTGGAAACGTAATTATTTCTTTTATGAAAAGGGCCACAGATTAAATAAAAGCCAACAGAACTGGCACACGTTTATTTCAAAGGCCTTCCATCCTGTCGTGTCACTTTATTCTCCTACCTTTTTTTATTGATTTGTTTGCCCGCTAATTAATGGGAGCAATCAACGGCTGCTGGATGCTTAAGCTTTAGCTAAAACAAGGCGAAATGAGCTTTGCCGGAGTTGCAGGGGTGGCCGCGGGGTTTTGATCCGAGGCACAGGGCGGTGTGCGGTGCTGCAGCAGGGATGCACTGCTGCTGCGTGTAGCGAATGGGCGTTTATTTCCCCGTGCACACCAGAGCTGGCACCTGAGGGGGCTTCCTCAGCTGCACGTACTCTGTGTGCATCCCGTTTGCATCCCGCCCGCCCCCCGCCGCTCGGTGCCGCGCCGCTCCGCGCTCTGCCGCTGTCTCCGTGGTAACGGCGCCGCCGCTCCGCTCCTTTGTGTGCAGCGCGGCGCTGGCTGGCGGCCAGGAGCTGCCCCAAGCCGGGGCTCCGCGGCGGGGCCGCCTGTGTCCGTGCTGCCAGAGGCGAAGGGGCCCCAGGAGAGGCGCGGCGTGGCTGCGCCCAGGGCTCCCGGAACGTCCTCGAGGCGAGCGGCGGCGGGAGGCCGGGCACGCGGCGGTGGCTGCTGAGCTGGAGGGGATCCGGCGGCAGAGAGCAACGGCAGCGCTGCCAGCAGCGTAGTGCCAGCAGTGCAGTGCGGTGCAAGGGAACGCCGGCAGCGCCGGCAATTCGATGCCAGCAGTAGCAGCGGTATCAGCCCGGCCTGCAGCTCCCGGGAGGGTCAGACCCTCCCCTGGGGCTCGCTGCCCCACCAGCACCCTGCTTTCGCCAAGTGGAACCGGCCAGGGTTGCCAAACGTGCCCCACAACTTCACGAGCAGTCTTTACTTGTTACGTTTCAGTCCGTTTGAGGTGGATAGTCTTATTAAGGTAAAACTGAACATTTTATTGTGAAAATGAATGTGAAAATCTTCAGGGCTGGATGTGGCTCAGGGCAGCTTGGTCTGGTGGTTGGTGACCCTGCGTGTAGCAGAGGGGTCGAAACCAGATGGTCATTGTGGTCCTTTTCAACCCAAGCCATTCTATGATTCTATGATCCTATAAACTACAGCATTTACAACTAAATGAAAGTCCACTTGTCAAAACCAACACACTGGCCTTAAGCAATGTGTTTGTTTTGCAGTGCAAAACAAGGAAGGAGGAGATCTTCATCTGTGATCTCTGTAGCACTTCTCAGAACTGAATAGAAAGGGAAAAACAAAGGCAGTTTATTTAAAAAATAAAATAAAATCCACAGGGAAAAAAAAACCAAACAAGCACAATAACAAACAAGATTTTGCAGATGTAAATGAAAACAGGCCAAACAAAAAGGAATGATGTACTTGAGATACGTACTGGAATTTTTGTCAAGATGGCAAAGATTTGGAATTAAGATTCTTACACAGCACCTGGCAATGGAGGAGGCTGAGGTGCCAGTGCAGGTCCGGAGCAGCAGACCTCGCCTGTCCTCTGCTACCAGGATAACCCTGGGGCCTGTTCTATGCTGTGAGCCTGGCTGTGCTATGTGATATGTGGCCACACCAAGTAAGTCTATTTTCAGATGTGCTTAGGAGCGATTTAAGGCCAGTTCAAAATTAGAGCTCTTTGAAAACCGATCCTTAGGAGATGTGTGTCCTCAGCTGATGTGCACAAAATCAGGAGCAGCAGCAGTGATGCTCAAGAGTACATTGCTGGGGAGAGAGTAGCACAGCTGGTGGGACTGCTGAAATGTCCCCTCGCTGGCCCTGTGAGCCCTAACCCTGCCATGCAGGGGACATCAGGGCAGCACTAGGCTCGCAGCAGTGATGGGGCCAGGGAAAAGCCCATGTTTTTCCATGCACTCCTCACTCCATGTTCCTGATGATGGTGGTGAAGGACACTGTTTTGTTATTGCATTCTTCTCCAAACAGTGTCACAGTACTTTTGGATTTGCTTTTTTATTTAGGAAAAGTAAAAACAGAGAAACAAAACTTGCAGAAACCATGGCCATAAAGCAGCCACCTGCCATCTATGACTCGGATGGCTCCAGCACAGGCACAGCCTGGGGACCGATGCCGTGCCCATGTCACCTCCCCACGGAGGGAAGGATGCAAGGGACCCTCAGTGTGATTTTCTTCTGAGGTGTGGTGCAGCCCTGGCAAATAAAGCTTGGAAGCATCTATTGCACTGCGCCACTTAAGAGACCAGGGGATGTGTAATTGGCTGGATGCAGAGTGAAAGTCAGGCTCAGCGATTCCATTTTACAGTTGGCAGCCTTCCCAAGTGCAGATCAAGGGAAGCAAGTTGGACTAGCTTTAAAACACAGGGAAATTTGTTATCTTTTATAATATTTTGCTGATTTAAAGGGTAGGATTAAATTCTCATTTAATAAGCCCAAGTGACCGCTCCCCCCATTCTGATCACTCTGTGTCACAGCGATAACGCTGGAAAGGCACTGGGAGCCTGGAGGCACGGCAGCATATTCTGTCCTCCCGAGCACAGACCTGATGATTGCTCGCTGCTGCAGCCCATGAGCAGGCACTGGCTGCTTTGTGGTGAGCCTTGCAGCACAGCATGGGAGCTGCTTCCCAAAGCTGCTGAGAAGGCAAGCGTTTGAGCAGTGAAAGAAGGCATTTGGTGTTAGCACCTTCCAACTCTCTTGTTTGCATTGCCCCTCCTAAATAAGGATCCTATGGAGACCCAGATGTGTAACATAAATAGTTTGGTTGACTCAACTAAGCTGCTCCTGGGCAGGCTTTGTTTTATGAGCAAGAACTGCCTCTTCAGGGCTTTCACCTTACCAGCTCCTACCATGTCATTTTTAAATAGTTCTAAAAATGCATCCTGTAAATAAAATCCCTACCATGAACAAGAAGAGCCTTTCCACAGAGCAGTGCACAGAGCCCCTCTGTGAGCGAGAAAACTGTTTTCCCTTGTCTGTCAGATCAGCTCATTTAGATTATTTAAGTCAAGTGCAATTTTGAAAACAATCTGGTTTGCTCGTGACGGCTTCCTCATTCTGCATAATGATGCTGAATGTAACAAGCAGCAAAGGGTTGTTGACAGCAAATTTTCCACATGCTCAGGCCAGTGCTTCTCATGTCGACTTATAAAAGAGCCCCTTGCTTTATTTTCCCCAGACATTAGGCAGAAAGTATTTCCTAACATGTCAGCTTTAGAACTCCATGCTGGAGCTTCATTTTCACACGAAGCCTTCACAGCAAACGCAGATAAAGGGGAGGGTGGAGGAAAGGGGAGCTCTGAAATGGCGCCAGCTCCTTTTTAACTGCTTTTAGTCGGCGCGTTCCTCTGTCTCTTGCAGTTTATTCTCTCACTCTGATTATGTAAAAATCCTAATTAA